AAGGCAAGGGCCATGGATGAGGACATTCCATTAGAATTAAAACATGTTTTCCCTTTACAGAATACATACATCAGCAGACTAATCAACTGATGCGAGGACATAAAGCATTTTCTTTTAAAACTCTTAAAGATTTGAAGCAAGCTGCTACCAGCTATGGGCCAGCAGCACTGTTTGTGAAAACCTTTATAGAAACTATTGCTCAAGAAGTTTTGTGTCCTTATGATTCAAGCACTCTCTGGACAGGTAAAAATCCACAGCTCAGCCCACTTTCTGCTCCTCTGTTTGTAATAAAAATTATACTATCAGTTCACTTAATTTCTGATTCTTCTGCTTTGTTTGGATATTTAAAAGAATTTTTTAAAGTCCTTGAATTAGAAATTAGTTCTTTTATTTTTTAGTCTTCTTTAATTCTTAGCCTTGGTTTGCTACTGCTGCTGTAACAAATAACACAAGTGGGTGGTTTTAACAAACAAATTTATTTTTCACAGTTTTTTGTTGTTGTTACATGCACTTGAGACAGTTCCAACTCATAATGGCCCTGTGTACGACAGAATGAAACATTACCCAGTTCTGCACCATCTTCACAGACATTGCTGTGTTTGAGCCCATTGATGCCGCCACTGGATTAGTCTGTCTCATTGAGCGTTTTCCTCTTTTTCACTGACCATCTGCTTTATCAAGCATGGTGTCCTTCTCCAGGGACTTGTCCCTCCTGATAACTTGTCCAAAGTACATGAGACAGAGTTTCACCATCCATGCTTCTAAGAAACGTTTTGGCTATACTTCTTCCAAGATAGATTTGTTCATTCTCTGGCAATCAATTCAAATGGGTCAGTTCTTCTTCAGTCTTCTTATTCATTCTTCAGCTTTTGCATGCATATGAGGTAATTGAAATTACCTTGGCTTGTATCAGGTGCACCTTACTTAGTCCTCAAAATGCCATCTTTGCTTTTTAACTTTTTAAAGAAGTCTCTTGCATCAGATTTGCCAATGCAATACGTTGTTTGATTTCTTGACTTTTGCTTCCTTTGGCTGCTTCCAAATTTCTTGTCATAGATGAGTGAGAGTTTCCAATGTTGCATCCATTTGTGTAACATCTCAATAGATATTGCATCAATTCCTGAAGCCTTGTTTTTCACCAATGCCTTCAATACAGCTTGGACTTCTTCCTTTACTCCCATAGATTTCTTAATCATATGCTACCTCCTGAAATGGTTGGATGTCTACCAGTTCTTTTTGGTACAGTGACTCCTCTGTATCTTTCAGTTTTTTACCCATAGAACCCAGTATTGCAACTCGATACTTTAACTTTTTCTTCAGATGTTTCATCTTGAAAAATGCCAAGTGTGTTCTTCCCTTTTGGTTTTCTAGCTCCAGGTCTTTGCACATATCAGTATAATACTTTGGTTTCTTGAGTCGCCATTTGAAATCTTCCATTCAGCTATTTACTTCCTTATTTCTTCCTTTTGCTTTAAGCTACTTTATGTTCAAGAGCAAGGTTTAGAGTCTATTCTGATACCCATTTTGGTCTTTTCTTTCTTTTTAATGACCTTTTGATTTCTTCATGTATAATACACTTGATGTCATTTCACATCTTGTTTAATCTTTGGTCTTTAGTATTCAGTATGTAGAGCTATTCTTGAGATAGTCTCTAAATTCAGGTAAGATATAATTAAGGTCATACTTTGGATCTCATGGATTTGTTTTAGTTTTCTTCAGCTTCCACTTAAACTTGCATGTGAGCAGTTGGTAGTATGTTTTGCATTCAGCCCATGGCCTTGTTCTGATACTTGCTTTTGCATCATCTCTTTCCACACAAGTAGTCAGTTTGATTCTTGTGTGTTCAATGTGGCAGAGTTCATGTGTACAGTTGCTTTATTTGTTGTTGAAAAAGTTATTTGCAATGACTAAGTCATTGGTCTTACAAAATTCTATCATGCGACCTCTGATGGCATCTAGGTCATATTTTCCAACTCCTATTCTAAGACACCTGACTGCTAACCAGAAGGCTGGTGGTTCAAACCCACCAGCCACTCCTCAGAAGGAAGATAGAGCAATCTACTTCTGTAGTGATACTGCCTCGGAAACCCAAGGAGTGGTCGCTATGAGTCGGGTCTGACTCGACAGCACGTAACAACAACACAACATTCCTTCTTTGTTACCAACTTTGCATTACAATCACCAGTTATTATTAATGCATTCTGATTGCACATTTGATCAATTTTAGACTTCAGAGGTTGGTAAAAGTCTTTAATTTGTTCATGTTTGGCATTAGTGGTTCTTACATAAGTGTGAATGATTGTTGTATTCCTTGGTCTTCCTTGAAGGCATATGGATCTTATCCTGTTGGTGACAGTGTTCAGGATAGATTTTGAAATGTTCTTTTTGACAATGAAAACAATACCATTTCTTTTCAGTTTGTCATTCCCAGCATAGTAGACCACATGATTGATTCAAAATGGCCAATACCAGTCCATTTCAGCTCACTAATGCATAGGGCATCAATCTTTCCGCACTACATTTTGTTTTTGATGACTTCCAGTTTTCCTAGACTCATACTTCATACATTTTACATTCCAATTATTAATGAATGTTTGCAACTGTTCTCATTTTGAGTCATGCCGCATCAGCAAATAAAGGTCATGAAAGCTTTACTCCATTCACATCATTAAGCTCGACTCTACTTTGAGAATTCCATTCTTTCTCAGTTGTTTTGAGTGCCTTCAAACCTGAGAGCCTCATCTTCTGGGACTGACTCAGACAGTGTTCTGCTGCTTTTCATAATTCTATTCTCCAGTTTTTTTAGAAGTAGATCACCGGGTCCTTCTTCCTAGTCTTAGTCTAGGAACTTCACTGAAACCTATTCAGTGTGGGTGAGTCTGCTGTTATTTGAAATACTGGTAGCATAGCTTCCAGCATCATAGCAACATGCTAGACTCTACAGTACGACAGACTGACAGAGGAGTGGTGGCTTCACAGTTGAAGGAGCTAGAAGTCTGAATTCAGAGTACTATCTATTGTGAAGACTGTCTGCTGTGGGAGTGAATCTTTCTCTGTAGTGCTTGGTATTCTACTGTTCCTTGACAGTATTTGAGTGAGTGGCATCTTTCTCCTTCTGGGCTTGTTTCTCTCTGTGTCTAATCTATGTCTTTATATCTCAAAGGACATTAGGTTTTAAATACACCCTACAATGATAATGGCCTAATTAGTACAACAAAAAAATCCAGTTCCCAAATGGGATTACATGCACCAGTAAGAGGGTTAAGATTCCAACATGTATTTTTGAAGAATACGATTCAATCTATAACAGCATTTAAGCTTTTTATTCCTCTCTCCTGATTATTATTTGGCTGAATCTCACACTTGGGCAATATACTTCTGCAGTGATACCACCTTGGAAACCCAAGGAGGGGTCGCTATGAATCAGAACAGACTTGACAGCAGTGAGTTTGGTTTTTTAGTTTTTTATATCTCACATATATTGACGTGTAGTGATCTTTTTGTTTTTCAATTCAAGGTTTTGTAATTTTCATTTTAATGTTTTCATTCATTTAATTTTATTTAAGAGTTATAATTGTTTTAATTCCTAAGGATATGGAATTTTTTGTGTTGTCTTCTATGTAGAGTTGTAATTATATGCTTTATGGTGAATAAATGTGACCTTTTTTGTTGTTATTTAGAATTTTTTTATAACTTCAAATGCTCTACTGCCTTATATTATTGCCTATTTGATTTATCCATTTTAAAAGTAAAATGTCTCTATTTCCTTCTGTTAGTATAGATTTCTCTATTTTTCCTTAGTTATAGTAGTTTTTGCTTCCTAGATTTTGAAGTGTCATTATTTTCTAAAAGTTTAATATTAGCAAACCAATTAATTACTGTCAGGTCTGATTCATGGTGACTTCATGTGTATATTACCATAAAAATAATAAACCCACTGCCATTGAGTAGTTTCCTGTTCACGGAGACCTTTTATGATAGAGTAAAACTGCCCCATAGGGTTTCCAAGGCTGTAAATCTATGGAAGCAGATTGCCTCATCTTTCTCCTGCAGAACAGCTAGCAGGTTTGAACTGCCAACCCTCTAGTTAGGAACCTAATGCTTTAACCACTATGCCACTTGAGCTCCCTGTATATTACCATAGAAATTTTTTAAGTAAATATTTTCATTCATTTATTTTTGTTCTTTTTGTATCATTTTTGTTTTGTCTACTGTAAATAATATACTATATTTTGTTTTGATTTTTTTTTCATTCGTTGTGAGACCCTATCAGTAAAAGAGTTTAACCTTTTCTTTCTTCTAAATTTTTTATTTACTATGTTTTTTCTTTGATTCTTGCTGTTCTCCTTTTCTGTATGCTGTGTCTATTGATCAAGGTTTTCTTGTTCAAATTATTTCTTCTATGCATCAAAAGTTATGGGCGCTCTGGTGGTGTAGTGCCTCAGACATTTGACTGCTAACCAGAAGGCTGGTGGTTCAAACCCACTAGCCACTCCTTGGAATGAAGGTTTTGGGCAGTCTGCTTCTGTAGTGATACCACCTTGGAAACCCAAGGAGGGGTTGCTATGAGTCAGATCCGACTCGATGGTGGTGACTTTATTTTGTTTTTTTTTGACTTTTTATCAGAAGTTATACATTCTAGACCTGTTCATGTAGTGATTAGTCTTAAAGTTTAAATAATACATGTTTTTCTAATAAAAGTAAGAGTTATTATTTTTTCTTCTTCTACCTAAAATAAATTTTTTTATCAAGCTTTTATTTCTTCTTTATTCCTATGTCAATATCATCAGAAATTTTGTGCGTCTATTAGTGAACCAATAATGAGTCAGTCTGGTAGCAGCTGGATTCCTTTAGTGAGAAAAACGGCCATTTTTTTTAGGTAGTAGTTTCCATTAAAAAATATAAATATATAAATACATATTTAAACATATTATTTTGAAAGCTGTATACACCAAGAGAAAAAACAATCTTAAGTGCTAACCTGCTGTTGTTTTTATTAGATTGAGGAACTTCAGCAGGCTTTAACAGTAAAACAAAATGAAGAGAATGACCGGCAGAAGAGAATAAGTAACACACGCAAAATGATAGAGGATTTGCAGAATGAACTAAAGACCACAGAAAACTCTGAGAATCTTCAGCCTCAGATTGATGCTATTACAAATGATCTGAGACGAGTTCAAGATGAAAAAGCATTATGTGAAGGCGAGATAATCGATAAACGAAGAGACAGGGAAGCTCTAGAGAAAGAGAAAAAGGGTAAGTTTTATTAAGCTTAGGGTGAAGATATTTATAAAATGGATATATATCACTGATGGGTGTTCTTTTTTCCCCTTACCATTTCTTTAAAATGTTCACATCTCCTTGTTCAGGAAGCTCAGCTTAATTTTTCCAATCCAGTCTTCAGGTATTCATATCTGTTGTATACTGTTATTTGCTACTGGCTGACCATTGTTTTATGTGAAATTGCCACAATTAATTTATCTTAAAGATGCTTAGCTTTTTTATTTTTTTTTTTTAAACACAGTCACGCATTGATATTTCTCAGATCAAATTTAAGCTTTTTGTTCTAGCCTTCATAGACTTCTATCAGGTTTCATCTTCGAAACCAGTCCATTTTCACCTTTGCTTTTCTTTTCTGTAGTGTACATGAATAGGTCTATAGCATTATTCAGATAGAAAAGACCTTTTACACCCACTCCTTACTTACCAACATGGTTAGGTTCCAAAGACTAGGTTGTTATGCAAAATCAGCATTATGTGAAAATAGAGGGTGACCACATCATTATGTAACTGCCAAATTACATCATTACATAATTTCCAAACCACTGAGAATCGTGGCCCAGCTAAGTTGATGCATAGCCTTCACCATCGCACTTTGGCATTTGTTACTGCCAGATGTACATCATTAATGTGCAAAATAGTTGCATAGAAGATATTTTAGTTTTGTCATAAATGCAAAATGTTCGATACCAAGATAGTTGATAAATGAGGAATAGGTCTGTTCTCAGCTAAGTATAGGACTAAGATGTGTAACAGGAGCCTGGTGATGCAGTGATTAAACTCTTGGCTGTTGCCTGAAAGGTAAGTAGTTCAGACTCACCCAGCAGCTCCGTCGTACATTTATCAAACTACTGCGCAAATATGGCTTAAAAAAAAAAAAAGGCCTAGAGCAGAAGGATAATCCCTTTTCCACCTCTAGACTCACTTTCACTTTTTTTTTAAAAAAAAAATGCATTTTATTGAAATATAATTTATGTACAGTGAAATACACAAAACTAAAGTGACATGGATCAGCGCATTTTTTTTTCAGTGTTCCCCCCCACCTCCCACTCCTGGCAACCAACAAAGGAAGTTTCCCTCCACATATAAACCTTTCCTTGACCCTCCACAGCAGCGAACTAATATTATATTTGTCCTTCTGTGATTGACTTATTTCACTCAGCATAATATCCTCCAAGTTCATCCATATTATGTGGTGTTTTGCAGGTTCTACATTATTCTTTAATGCTCTATAGCATTCCAGTATGTGTATGTACCATAGTTTGGTCATCCACTCCTCCGCTGATGGGCACATAGGTTGTTTCCGTCTTTTTGCTATTGTAAATAGTGCTGTGATGAACCTGAGCGTGCATGATCTGTTCCTATCCTGGCTCTCACCTCCCTTGAATGTATACCTAGTAATGGGATTGCTTGGTCAAATGGTATCGCCAATTCCAACTTTCTAAGGAATCACCATATTGCTTTCCACAGTGGTTGTGTCACTTCACAGTCACACAAGCAGTGTATGAGAGTCCCAATCTCTCCACATCCCCACCAGCATTTGTTATTTTCTGTCTCATTGAACCTTGCCATGAGTGCTGGGATGAGACGGTATATCTCATTGTTGTTTTGATTTACATCTCTCTGATGGCCAGTGATTGTGAGCATCTCTTTATGTATTAGCTGACCACCTGAGTATCCTCCTTGGTGAAGTGTCTATTCATGTCTTCTGCCCATTTTTTAATTGGCTTGTTACTTTGGTGTTGAAGCATTGGAGTTTTCCATCAGTCTTAGAGATAAGTCCCTTGCCAGATAAGTAATTATCAGCACATATGAATTTATTGCTGTCATTTTTGTCATGTGCTTTTTCATTGTGTTGATTTCTTTGTTCCATTTAATTTTCTATACTGAGCTCATTTTGTTTATGAATCCAGTTATCACTTCCTTCATTGCCATTGTTTTAGTATTTGCTGAATATTTATGCTGGTCCTCTTTTTTAATTTTGATGTGAAGGTTTATCATTTGTTTTTTGAGATTACCCTGTGATTTATAGTTTTCTTTCCAAGTGTAGAACATTCCATTCTATTTTGTAGTTGTCTTGACTTCCCTACCATCTAGAATTTCTGTAACTACACAGATTTTTTTCCCTCTTTTTGGTTTGTAGTTGTCTTCATTTGTCGGTTGGTGTCTCTGGTTCCCTGTTTACAATCTTGTAGGCTTCTTTACTTTGGATACTTCCATAGCTGGGTTGGTTTCTGGGTTACATCATCATGTGTATTAATGGTCAATTGTTGTTAGTTGTTGTTGCTTCTCTGTCCAAAGGGCTCCCTTTAGCATCTCTTGTAAGGTTGGTCTGGTTTTAACAAATTCCCTTAATTTCTGCTTATCTGGAAATGTGCTTATTTCACCATCATATTTGAGGGACAATTTTGCTGGATACATAATTCTGGTTGGAAATTTTTCTCTTTCAGTGTTTTATATATACTATCCCACTGTCTTCTCGCCTGCATGATTTCTGTTGAGAAATCCGAGCTTAGTCTTATTGGTTGCCCCTTGTAGGTAACTTTTTGTTTTTCCCGTGTTGCTCTCATAATTCTTTCTTTGTCTTTGGTTTTGGTGAGTTTGATGATGATATGTCTGGGTGTTTTTCTTTTGGAGTCTATCCTGTTTGGGGTTCATTGGACTTCCTGAATGGATGTATTCTCATCTTTCATCATATCAGTGAAGTCCTCCTCCAACAAATCTTGGACAATTTTCTCAGTGGTTTTATTTTTCTCTTCCTGTTCTGGAATTCCAATGACATGTAGGTTATTCCTTTTGATGGTATCCCACACGAAGCTTAGGCTTTCTTCATTTTGTTTTGATCTTTTTTCTGATGGATCCCTTTCCAAAGAAGTATTCGGGTATTTGTCTTCCATCTCATTAGTGTATTCCATTGCATCAATTCTACTCCTTTGCCCTTTCAATGTGTTAACTATTTCTGACAAGTTAGTATTAATCTTCTGGATTTCTATCTGTAGTTTTAGAATCATTTCTAATATTTCATTGATTTTGTCATTTTGTTCTTGTATTTCTTCCAAAATTCTTCTTGGGTTTTGTCTGTGTTTTCCTTGGTCTGTCCCTCAATGCTTTGAAGATACCTAAATATAATTCTTTTTAATTCCTTATCAGGGAGTTCCAATGCTGCTTCTTCCTCAGGGATGTGTTTTGGGTCTGTATCCTGGTACCTTGTTTCTCCTGCTTTATCTTGCTTCGTGTGGACTGTGATGCCCTGTTGTCTCCGAGGCATTGTGACATTTTTGTGTTTATGTTTACTTGGTAATTATATGTTGGAGTGACTTGCCCACAATTTTCATTTTCTTTGTTTTGTTTGTATGTTATCTATACAGGCAGGGTACTGTGCTGTGCTCCTCTGTTCACTAGTTGACAGCACTTATACACTTACCACCTGTCTCCTTTGCTTTGTCAGCCTCTTGTATGACCTTGCTGCCCCTGACAAACAGCCTGTT